AATTTCACGCACACTCTTTGTTCCTTCTGGTCGGCCATCTCACTAATCGCCAAAGGGTTGAAACAGGAACGCACACAACAGAGCACCACAGACAAACCACTTAACTCAGACTGACGCCAGCTCACTAACAGTCGCGGGAGACCCCCAGCTAACACCACCTAGCAGCACAACTCGTAACTACAAAGCATGCGCGCACAACAGGTCGTTACCGGTTATTTTTGGGTCCCCCTTGTATGATGGGGTTGTACTGGCAAGATTCATTTGGTCCTTGATCAATACACTGCCCGTTCATTTGAATATGGAAATGAATCCATAGACAGCATAAAATGTTGGGAAATTGAGTAGATGAGCGAATGTTCCTCTCAAGAAGGACTAGGCTCAATGGATTCAGTTGATCAGTTAGTTAGTTAGTCAGTCAGATAACACAGCTTGAAATTGTGAAATGGAAATTCAGTGTTAGAAAGAGGAGTAAAGAACAAGTGAAATCTCCACCTTTGAGAGTCCATAATCTTCCTTTGCTTTGAGTACTGCTGAAGTAGGCCTCAGAAGAATAGTATGAGACTTGATCCTCTTACTGTGGTTCCACTCATAGACTGCAGCAGCCTTAAGGCGAACCAAGATGGATGCAAAAACAGCTTTATAATGCTGAGCTCTGTCTTTCAACATGGGAAGTGCAGCAAATAAGTGATCAGTTTTCTCATCCCAGCTCTTCAGAAGCGCAATCTCCTGAGTCAGCTGTGAATGTGCACACATTAAGCATTAAATGCTGAAGCATCGGTACACAAAATAGTACTGAATGCTATATCAGCACAAGCAAACAGGGGTATATAATGTAGATAATATACCATATAAACAAATTTTTAAGAATATACAATTTTAAGATTTACTGGGTTTCTGGACTTTGCCCATCCTCTGGTATTCTAAAAAAGTAGACAAGACAACATTATGGAAACTGGACCTTTTTCCAACCTCAGGTGAGGGGGAGGCACTTACTCTGTCAGGTTCCTTACACATGGGATGTCCTGCAATTGAGGTTAGCTATTTCTAAGGGACCCAACAGAGTAGATGTCCTCATTTCACCTGAGGATGGAAACAGATCCAGTGAATGAAACACTGTCTTCTCTAGTTTTTAAAATACTGGAAAATGGACAAAGTCCAAAAACCTAGTAATTCAGAATGTTACACACATCATCGGACTCCTTTAGAATCTAAAACATATAATTCTACCAGAAT